CTGTGAGGGATGGGAGGCAGGGCTGGCAAGGAACTACCAGTCCCACAGGCAAATCCCAACTTCCCACACCCCATTCTGTGACGCAGGCCCAGCACAGAACACCTGAACCGGGCTTTTCGCATCCCTCCTTTCTGTTAATGATACACCCGGGGGAAATTTTCCCTTGGAAATTATTAAGCTGTGAAACCATTAAGGAACTACTTCTCACTTCCCCCAGCTGTGATTCAGAGCTCAATCAGAGATAACCATTAGTAGTCACCCTGCTCACGATAACAGAAAATTCATAAATGCAAACCTGAACTGCACAGCCTCCTTCTTAATGGACCTTTTAAGATATCAAATTGTAGGAGCAGCGTGACTAAAGTACAAGCTCAAGGCAGGACATAGCAGGACCAGCATTAACACAGGCCCTGCACACCACTTATCTTCTGAATAAGAAGCTGGAAGTTTATCTAAAACACCTGGTTTCAGATAGGCAAGGTCTTTTCATTTCTATTTCGAGACACCCTCCAGGATCAACATTAGCCCAGTAAAAACAAAAAAAAAAAAAGAAAAGAAAAAAAAAGGCAAGTATGCCAGTGTTTCTCTTGAAAACCCTCCAGAAAAACAAAATCCCCGTGGCCTAAATCTAAGCTGCAGCTGCACTGCACATGTCTGGGTAGTGTGGGGTCTTCAACATCGTTTATCTTGCATCAAAGCTCTTGTAGGGGCTGCCCAGGGAAAGCACGGATGGAAACCTCTGCCTGTGTCACAGGTTTGGACATGGATTTGTAACTGGCTGTGACTTCATCTGTGCACCCTGAAAAGCGGATGAGGCTGGAGTCTGTGTTTATCCAGGAGTTCAGGAGCAGGACAGGAGGGACAGACTGACTCAGAGCCACCACCCCAGATGGCAGCACCCCAGCAACCCACAGCAGCAGCTCAGCTGGTGACCCCTGGGAGATGGAGATGTCCTGAAGAGCCACTGCTCCTCCTGGGAAAGCGAAAGATTAACCTCCAAGATCACCTGCAGGGATCAGGCCTGCCCTGTCTGCCTCTCTCCTCAGAGGGAAGGGGTGTTCAGGCAGGAACCACCCATCCCAGCAGAAAAACCCTTCCACTTTTCCACGTGCACGTCCCTCTGTGGCCCTGGCAGATGGTCTGTCCACGCAGCTCCTTGGAAAACACACCCTGCTGCTCCTGCTGCCATGGCACTGCCAGGGAACACCAGAGAAGCCCTCCTGCACTTGGGGAAGGTCCACCAAGGTCCCCAGCTTGCAGCTTCTGGGGCTGGACCACACCAAGGTGGTTATTTAACTCCCCAACCCCTGCAGGGCTCAGCCACGGAAAGAAAAAGGCATTCATATTTAGAAGACTGCAACTTTTTCTGGCTTTTCTTCCCTGCAATTCCCCAACAGAGCAGGATATTGTTACCAAACAGGGTCTTGGGGCAGCCCAAGTGAATGAAACAGCAAGGTGTGGGCAACAGACTGGAAAGGGAACTTGTTAATAGCAAAGGGCTTCAAAAGAAATGAGGAGAAAAGGGGAGAGAGCTACAGTTAACAAAAGTTAATCACCTCACCTTTCCCTGATCTTCAAAGAAAACAGATGTAAAGCAAAAAAAAGTACTAGAATATAAACCAAGAAATCCTAAGCACGTGATGAGCAGCAGGAAAACAATCCCCTTTGACTGTCATGGTGCAATGAGTTAGGCACTGTATCTCACAAAATAAATCATGCTGTAAGGACAAGGCTTGTGACTCGCTGGATAAAACGTGAGAAACTCTTCCTTGAGTAATTCAACCCAGAGCAAGCCACACTAATTCCCCGGAATCAGGGTGCACTGTCACCTGGACAAGTGTCACTGAATAGCTGAGCTATTCACAACTGCTTGGAAAATAAACACCTTTAAAGGTGTTTCGCTCTTTGTGTTCAAGGCAACAGTTAAGAGGAAGCATGAGAGGAGATAAACACCCGGTCTGGGTTTTTTTAATAAGCTTTTTCTTCTATATTGCTTAGCAATTAAATTGATGAAGCTGTACATGTGCTACTGCTCTGCCTGGGATATCACTCAGTCCATCTGAACTCTGCCCCGTGGCTCCAGCTTTTTCAACACGAGAGTTGTTTTTAGGCAAAGAAGCCAAGCCTCTCTCTTCAGGGTTGTCATCTGAGCTTGTGGTTTTTTCCCCTTCTCTTTAAATAAATTTAAATAAGCCCACACCATTTGCACATAAGCCCTACACAAACAGAAGTGAATGAGCAGAAGTTACAGCTTTGTGACCCATCAGGCTCCAGCGGCAGCATCCCGGTGAAAGCGAGGGGTGCCACACTCCAGTGGGATTCCTGGAGATGCCCTGACAAGAGCAGGGGGCTCACAAAGCTGTGACACTTACCCTGAAAAGGGCAGTTTCAGTACCAGGTTCTCATTCTGCCCTAAGCACCTCTAAGAGAAACTCAGGACGTTCCCCTGCCAGGGGCAGAACTCCCAACGCCTCCATCCCACGAGAAGCGTTGAGCTGCATTTTCCATGCACCCACAGGGACACAAAGCCACGCAGGCAGCCACCCCAGCGAGGGGCCAGCCCTTCCCAGGCCGTGCCTGTGGCTTTGGGCTCCGTGGCAAACCTGCCTGGAGCACACTGCACCATCTGTATCCTCCTGGAAAGGCTGCCCGGCGGGGAGAGCTGCAGAAATACCAGGGACACCACAGGTGGAGGGAGAACAGGCTGTTGTCTGGAGAGAGCTAAAAGAACCCCTCAGCCCTGAATGCCACGCTGTGCAGGAGCCCACACAATAAACAAGGGCAGTCCCACAGCTCCACCTTCCTCGCTGCAACTCCTTCACCGTTTGCTCGCTCCTGGGAGCTGGGCTTTGCCTCCGAGCACACAGGAGGGCTGTGTGAGGAACACTAAGTCTTTAAGGTCATCGTTAAAGAACGTTCTTCTCCCCCCAAGAATCAGTCCTGAAACAGGTCAGTAATAAATGTTTTCTGCCAGTGAGGTCTGGGAACAGAAGGACACTGCCTGGCACGCAGAGGACTTCATGCCTCTTGCAACGTTGTGAGCAGAAACAAAGAGCAGAAAGCATTTCCAAACTAACTGGCCAGAGAGACTCCTGCACACCAAGTTTTGGGTCCTCAGACAAGGCAGAATTAAGGAGCCATGTTCATTTTCAAGGACAACACATGCAAAAACAAACAAACAAAAAAAATCTAAGTTTTCTTCTCTGTACCCTACCAGAAGCTTCTATTAATAAATGCAAAACCAAAGCATCCTCAAACTCCAAAAGGCATTCAGGCTGAATTTCGGATTTAAAACCTGGGCTTCTAATTATTCAATTTGCAAAAGGAGGAGCACAGTCAAATAACACAGCTGTCCATCTTGCCACAGGTGGCACTGCTATGCCTTTCAAAGGCTCACAGCTGATCGACATCACCTGCAAATCCCAGCTCTGGCGTACTCTCAGCCAGTGCAAAATGCTGCTAACACCCAGCCTCACAAAACCTGGGCTGTGGGAGAAACATTAACACACCACCCACGTCGTGGAAACGTGGTAAAACTGGGATTTTATTAGTAACAGGGATTTTTAGGAGTAATAACGATTCATGTAACTGGGAGAACGAAGAATGGGGATTAAGAAGGGGGCTGTACCCATCCTAATAGGACAAATTATTGTGTGTCCCATCTTCGTTTTCGAATGGAACTGCCTCGGCTGCAGCTACAGAAAGTGTCAGGAGAAATCGCCCACGTGCACATGCGAATAATCGTGCTGATCAAAGGATCCCTATCAAAGGGAAATCCCTCATCCCGTGCCTTTGATATCAGCTGGAGATGGCTGAAACCGAGAAGCCGCTGAGGTTGCGTGAGGGGAAGAGAACTTCCTTCAAGCTCTGTGCAACACATCGCTAATGGGACATCACCATTTCATCACCATCCCCAAGACCTCCGGTAATTAGCGAAATCACGCCTTTTCTCAGTCCATCAGATACCTGGCAGATAAGCACACGAAAATCCGCCCACAACTGTCACCCAGATAGGATCTGTTTTGACAGTCACCGTACAAAGGTCAGCCGCAAACTTGCTTATAAATGTCATTTTTCCAGCCAAGGGTGGAGGCAAAGGAGAGGGATTATTCTGGAAGTTCAGTAATGCCTCTCTCCTGTCACACAGCAATAAACAGAACTCCCATGCACAGCTCAGAGCTTGCACCTCCCCTCCCTGAAATAATCCCTAAACCACAGGTTTTCGCGTGCCCGAGAACACCCGGCTGCACAGGCGCGCTTTGTTCCGCGTGGTTTTGGTTGCATTCCTACCCGCACACATTACCAGGCTGCCCGAAACGCATCTGAAAAACGTACGACGAAGTAAAAAGAAAAAAAAAAAGAAGTAAAAATGAACCAGCAACAGCAGCCTGAAAGACTTCCGTCAAGATTTCTTCTGGTTCTGATTTAAAACCTGGAAAACGTATGGCGCGGCCGGAGGGACCCGGGGCTCGCATCCCAAATCCAAGAAGCAAGGGAGGGCAGCTGGCAAGCGGAAGGCGACTTCTGGCTGCGATTTGCAATTTTAATTTCTAACTGAACTCTGCCCTGGCTATGCTTATTTTTTCATCGCTCTGCGCGCGTTATATATGTTTAAAGCACCGGCTGTGCAGGGTGCCGGGAGCCCATCGGTGGCGGCGAGTGGCTCGCCAGGCTGCCTTCCCCGGGGTGGGAGCGGGGCAGAGGACGCCCAAAAAGCCACGCGAGGAGCGAGGCTCAGCCTTCCCGCAGCCTCGGCGGGCTGGCAGCCCGCGGCACCGCGGGGGATCCCGGCAGGATGGCCGGGCACGCCCCGCCCGCTGCCAAGGGCGCCCTCCATCCTCGGCAAACCCGGGGATGCTCTGCCGGCCCCGGCTCCCGGAGGCCGGCTGGTGCCCGCGGGGGTCCCGCGTCCCTCGGGGGCTGCGGGCAGAGCGGGCTGGGCAGGACCCCCCGCCCGGCCCGGCGCGTCCCTCCCGCTGTCCCTGCCCTGTCCTCCCTACCGTGTGCTCGCGGCTCGACATGGTGCGGGCGGCGCCCGGGCCGGCGGGCCGGGGCTATAAGGGCTCGGCGACACGTAGCGCGGCCCTGGGCCGGCCCTCTCGCCCTGCGCCCGCCCCCGCCGCCGCCTCCTCCGGCCCGGCCCCCGGGGCAGCGGGCAGGGCGCTCCGGCACCGGGGGGACGTGTCACCCACCCGCCAGGGCCGAGGCACCGCGGCCACGGCGCTGCGAACCCTCCTGGAGCGTAAAGCTGCCCTAAAATCAGCTCCGACCAGTCCGGGCTCCGGGAGGGAGAGCAGGAACGAGAGCCTGCACGAAACGACTCGAAAAGTCACCTCTGGAGGGTGATGATAAGGATAAGAATGATGATGGTGATGTCTAAGACCAAGCAGTGCTGGAGGATAGTCCCTGAGTGTTTGGCCAAAATGCCAAAGGAAGTTAAAAAGAAACACAGAGTCTACCAGCACACAAAGCTCAGCATGTGAGGGGAGCAGAAACACCACACCTGACAGCTTTGCCCCAAATCTGCCATTTTCCACCACCGGAAAAGCTCAAATCCCAGGATGCTGCTGAGCCAGAGGACAGGCAGTGTGCTGGAGGATGAACCACCGTTCATCCTTGGGATGGCCCGGGAGCCAGAGACAGGAAGAAATGATCCCCGTGGGTGTGTAATTCTGCACCTGGGGATGCACAGCCTGGTCCAGCATGGCACATGTCCTCTGACCACTATCTCCTGATCCATAGCCATCCATCCATGCATCCAGCCCAGGGCTGTCAGGATGGCTGTGCGCACTGCTGCCTCTCCTCTAGGAGGAGATAACTCACTTCTCATCGTGCCCAGAAGAGCAAGTGCTCTCAGATATCTCTCAGACAGGTCCAACATGCCGAGCTGACTCTGGGCTGCTCCTAGTACCTGTTCAGCACACAACCACCACCAGCCATGCATGTCCCTCCCCATAAAAACACTCCTGCTCCACCTGTCCTTCATTCCAGCAGTTTAAAGTCACGATGCCCTGAGTGAAGCCCCTCAGTGGAAGAGGACAAAAAGGTGGTGGCATTTTGCAAGGCTCACCGAGGGAAGGCTCGTTCTCCCGAAGAACCCTTCAAACAGAAAGTGGGAAACCCCAGGGGAGAGGGGAGAGGAGAGACAGTGGAATAGATGGGGTTCCTCAAATGAGGTCCTGTTGGAAGAAGAACTGGGCTCTGCCGTGGGAGCAGGGAAAACATGGAAGTGAAGGAATAGGGCTGGAAGGAGGCAAGCAGCACTTAGTCAACCAGCTCCCGGAGCCAGGCAGCTATTAGAGTGCAATCAGCTATCAACTGAACTAATCCCCAGTGTAATTCCAGTTAAACCCATGGCATTACACTTGGGATTAGCTCAGCTAAATAATGCCAGGGTCGCTTTTTAGCATCACTCATTTCGTGCTTTTCCTTACGTTGGGTCGGGGTTTTTCCTCAATTAAGGGCAGATTAAAGTTTCTGCCATAAAAATCAATACAGCAAAGTTGGAAGAACAGGAAAATGAGCCCCAACACAATATCCATTGGAAAAGCACATCTGGCACAAGGAACCCTCCCACAACCATTGCCTGGGCAGGACATAGGGTACATCTCATCCAGTGGAGGACACCAGGAGAAAGACAAGTTAAATGACTGAAAGTCATCTCTGATGAGTCAATTGTGCATTTTGATTCCTGTAAGTATTATTTTTAAGGGTTTTTTTGTTTGTTGGTTTAGTTGGATAAAAACATTTAATATTCTGCTTCTGTGGGATGAATTTTAAGCTCACATCTTTGCAGCCTTTCTGTGTTACTTTGCCTCTGTGTACCTTCAGTAAAACATGCCCAACAGACCAAAGCAAGGGGGGAAATACATTTAATGAAGAAAAAGGAGCAGCAAGAAGGTGTCTATGAGGACAAGGCAGAAAGAGGGGCCTCTCTAACCACTGACCACTCTAAACCATTCCAGCCTGACACACAACTGGTTCCAATGAGGGCACTTTGGAAGGAAAAGCAGTTCTCACTAAAAATAAGCAGTAGGAAGGTCAGGGGAAAGACAAAAAAACTTGTGTTACTATGTAACAGAAAAATTAGCATCAAAAACATGTAACACCTCCATGTTCCCCTTAGATATCTATCAGACAGAAAATGAGTCAACATGATCTCCATTTGTTGCATCATTCTTCATTTCTAACTTCAAAGTTATTTCCCTTCTAGGAATTAAATTGACTGCTCACAGCCTGCCTAAGAATTGGGACAATTAGTATTTTCTGTACAAAAGATCAAGGGGGTTTTTCCTCCCCAATTTTTCCCAAGCATAATGCAAAAAATGGTACGAACTTCTGTAACATAAACCTCTAATAACTAAATATATGTGGCTATTGCCTCAAGTTTTAATTTGTGTGGGCTTTTCAAGGAAGTAATGATGAAACAGAATCAGAAATTAAGCAAAAACGAAGAAAATCTAGTTGCTTACCTCAGGAGACATATATATTAGTGACACTCAATTTTCATGGAAGAACTTCTTGGGCTCTTGAACAAGCTGCAAGAACTTCAGCTGACACAGCTGGGAGAAGCAGCAGCACTCCAGCAAAGCAGACATGGGGGCAAAATCTCTCCAGATGGAAAGAAAAGGGCACTTGAGCAGCTGCCTTGCTTGATAAAAAGCACTTCCAGGAATGATTTGGCAACTTACAGCACTGTTACCTAAGGCCAGCAGGGCAGGGGGGGATTCTGCCCCTCTGCAGAGCTGCTCCAGCCCTGGGAACAGCCCAGCAAGGACATGGAGCTGCTGGAGAGAGTCCAGGGAGGCATCAAGATGATCAGAGGGCTGGAGCAGCTCTGCTGGGAGGAAAGGCTGGGAGAGCTGGGATTGTTCAGCCTGGAGAGGAGAAGCTTTGGGGTGACCCGACTGTGGCCTTCCAGGGCCTGAAGGGGCCAACAGAAAAGATGGAGAGAGACCATTTCCAAGGGCCTGGAGTGCCAGGACAAGGGGGAATGGCTTCCCACTGCCAGAGGGCAGGGTTAGATGGGATATTGGGATAAAATTCTTCCCTTTGAGGGAGGTGAGGCCCTGGCACAGGTTGTCCAGAGAAGCTGTGGCTGCCCCTGGATCCCTGCGAAGTGTCCGAAGGCCAGGTTGGACACGTTCCGGTACTTCGGAGAACAACTGTGACAGTGGAACGATGTCCCTGCCCATGGCGAATAACGAATGTGGTGAGGGTAGAGCTGGATAATGCGGGTGCTTTTAATGTCCCTTCCAACCCAACCCATTCTATGATTCTATGATTCCAGGGAATATTTTTATCTGGGGGGATTCTCACCACACTTACAGGATGGGAGATTGTTCCTTTCCCTACTGAGAGGGACAGAAGAAAGTCATGCTCTGGGTACCTGCCCTTGGACTCAGCACTTCCTTGGGAAGTCTGTACTGCCCCAACACCCTGATCTCAGACAGACAATAAACCCCTTGACCAAAAGCTCTCTCAGAGCCTGCTGTGTGACCTCTTACACCAACAGGACCCCCAGAGAGCAAAGCCTGTGTGTAACCACCACAGGCCCCGTGAGCAGCTGCATGGGAGGCCTTTGCTACAGCCATCTTCCTGTTCCAAATCACCTTTTTAATCGAAATTCCTGTCCTAGCAGAACCCTAGAAATGACCCCAAAGTGCCAGCACTCCTGTGAGTGTTTCCTCAACACCCACCTCAACATGCCCAACAAGTTCACCAGCACCAAGGTGGTAGAGGTGGATATTAAAACAGGCCACACATCCTTTTTGCTCTGTGGTATCAACCCCCAGGTGCTGCAGCCTTTGGGCAGGTGTCATGGAAGGAGAGGGGTGTCCCCTGCAGTGTTCTCCCACGTGGAAGTTGGGGAAGGTCACTGCCCCTGACTTGGCACAACTCTGTACTTTTGAATCCTTGCAGGAATTGCCTCCTCCTTGGTGACATCTTGCTGGAAAAGCACCACCCAAACTAGCATCAAACCTCTGGAGAAGGAGCCCAGAGACCAGCTGTGAAGTGACTAGTGACACCATTCCCTCCATGGCCCCTGCCTGCTCCCTGTGTACGCCTGGCACAGCGGGAGCAAAGGGTGGGGGAAGCAGGGAGGATGGCCAAGCTCTCCCATGTTCCAGGGCTACACTGGCCACATCCACCCTGCACTCAAACTACTGCCAGAGTCTCTGCTCTTGTTTATCTGCTTTCCTAGAACTGGGGAACTTGCAGAGGAAGGTTCAGCACTTTGCTTAGTTTTCCAAGGAGACACAGTTGTCATCTTCAGCAGCATTTTCTCAGACTCTCTGGCTTTGTTTGTTCTCCTACAGGAAGAGTGAAGTGCCTGCACTTCCACTTCCACGCTCCCTCAATCCATACCTGTCACAGTGCTTCTCCAGGAGTTCCCCACCTGAGATCCTAGAGGGCACACAGCCTCAAGACAGCTCTCAGGAGGAAACAAGTGGCAGAACACCTGAGGCAGATGCAGGCTCAGCAGCTTTTGGCTGCATGCAGACAGCAGTCCCAGGGGAGGCTGTCACCCCAGGGAAAGGAGCATCCTCCAGTCACCAGGAGTGGAATTCCGCTTGTGCAATTCCAAATGCATTAAGATCAGTGCTTCTGAAACCTAAATATTCCACAGTGAACACGTGTGATACCTCTGGCATCGGCCTGCAGAGATACAGAGACACTGAACTGCCCCAACAAGCAGTTCCAGCTTATCTACCTCACCTTTCACCCAGGGCCATTCACAGAGAGTTTTGAATTCTGTGTGTAAGTCAAGTCTGGATCTGCAGCCCTAAAACCTCACTGGTGAGATAACAAATTAGAAATAAACCACAAAAACAAAGCACAGATTAATGGAAGCACCAGAGATACAGGCTGGTAAGGCACTACCTCCTGGCACAAGCAATGAGGACTTCAATGAGAGCAGGAAACTTTTTTCCTTTCCTTGTTCTACAATTCAAACATGTGTGATCATCCCTAACTTTCAGAAAGCTGTTGGAGAGAAACATGAGCTCCAGAAGGGACAACAGATCAGCCAC